CTAGCCTCTCTATGCTGTCCCAACTTCTTGAACTCTCATTTGTTTCCTATCTTTAAGGCATTTCAGTTTTCACTAGTAGTATTATCCCCTAAAGACAAAAGCAAAGGACAAGGTCAGAGCAGTCAGTTCTATTCCTTATTACTGGCTTTGATAAGAGGCTTTGGGGGAAGAGGTTGAAACTAACAGCTATAATGAAGTTTTGAGTTCTGTAAAGATTTCATTTACCTGTGCTATTGGTCTCCCCATTAAATGCATGCCTGTTCCATGTACCTTTACACACAATTTGCATAGCATATAATATCTATTACTGAAACTTTACAAACTTCTTAAATTGTATAGAAAAGGCTGTGAAACTTATTCTTAGAAAACATAAAAACACACATAACGAAGGTCATAACTCCAAATATTTAATGATACAGTATTTTGAAAAAAACAACAGTGAAACAAAATTAGTTACTAGAGTAGAAAAGATACACTATATTTTTAATATGTTTTGATACATGTCTTTTTTGCCCTCCCCCAATTTCGTAAAGATGTGCTGTTAAGATTCTTATCATACAGTGTATTTTAATCTAGCATTTTAGAAAACTTTTTACAGATTCATAGATAAAAGGCATGTCAGAATGTGACTTTTTATTTTCAGATGTTGTGAACTGGAGTTCTGCATGACTTTTATGGAAATGACTGTACTTTTAAAATATAAAACTTTTAATAAAACAAAACAAACCCAAATCCCTGAAACCTTTTCTTGGTAGTCCTCATGCCCACTCCTGTGATTCTGAAGATACGTTAACTAGTTTCAGATGTGTTTTGTTTGCTGACTCAAAGTCAGCCTTTTATTTTAAGAAAAGAAATAGTGTAATTAGTACTTAATTGCTTTGGATATTTTGGGTATTTGGAGAAGAAGGTAATTCAAAGGCCAGAGAAATTAAACTTTCAGAATGTTCTTTATGCCTGTGTAATTTCTTTTTTAAAAATGCCCTCTAAAGACAGCCTTAACAACTTCAAAATAAATGAAGACCAGGATTGTTTTTAAAAATTGACATCATCTTTGGATGTGGTTTTATTGATTTATTTAAAATAAATTGGAGAGAGGACCATTGACGTGCTGGCAAACAAGGTACTATCTAGTTCATCTCCTTTTCAGGCAGGTGTTAGCTGAATATCTCACAAATGGCAGTCCACCTGTCCTATACTTCAAGATCTGCCAAGAGAAAAGTAAATTTTTTCCCAGTTTATAAATACTACATTCGGTCAAATTTAAATATTTGCATAATTAAGAGTGGCATATGGTCTGCTGGGACCAACTGGAACTTGGTTGACATGGCACTTATCCTGTATCTGAAGCGATTTGAGATAGGCCATTTAACTTCTCTAGGCCAGTTATATTGTGTATAAATTGGAATGTTGGACTAGTAATCTCTACAATTTTACTAGTTCAGAAATGTTTCTGAGGGACCCATTACCTAAAAATTTGTGTTTTGTGAATTTGAAGATTAACAGGTCTGCTTTTAAGTGCTAACATTCCTATATTATTTTTGAAAATGAATACTTGAACTATGACATTAATGAAATATATTGGGTTTTTAAATGTATACCTTAAACCAGAAGACGCTTGCTTTGTATCTGCTATATTCACTGAATAAGACGCATATGCAGGATTTGAAGATTGGTTTCATATTGATTCCCAACCATTTGGGGAAGTCATACTAAAAGTACTATTTTATATTATTGCCATTACCTTTTTTCATTCTCATTAATATTATTGTTATTGTTTTGTTTTTAATCTTTATCATTTTTTTCTTGAAAAAAACAGCTTATATCACTGTTGAAGAAACAGTGAAACTTGAAGAAACTGTACATTACTTAAACATTTAATTTTCACTTAGAAAATTCAAAGAATCATAAGTAACTACTTGGCTCAAATATATGCAAAGTATTATAAGGAAAACGTAAATTGTAAAATGGACTATAAAAGAGATAAATAATATATATCAACAGATCAGTAGCCAAAAAAAAAAAAAAAAAAAAAAAAAGAGTTGCCCAACAATGGGACCAGGCACAGATTGGGTTTTGTGGGGGGAATTCTACTAAAATGTTAAGGAGTGGATAGTTCCAGTGTTGTTTAAAATACTTGAGGCCAGGCATGGTGGTTCACGCCTATAATCCCAGCAATTTGGGAGGCCAAAGCAGGCGGATCATTTGAGGTCAGAAGTTCAAGACCAGCTTGGCCAACTTGGGGAAACCCAGTCTCTACTAAAAATACAAAAATTAGCCATGCATGGTGGCATGCACCTGTAATCCCAGCTACTTGGGAGGCTGAGGCAGAAGAATTGCTTGAACCCAGGAGATGGAGGTTGCAGTGAGCTGAGATCGTGCCACTGCACTCCAGCCTGGGCAATAGAGCGAGACTTCATCTTAAAAAAAACTTGACATCAAAGAAGAATTTTCACATCAGTATTAAGGAAAGAGATGCTGTCTTTTTTACAATTACAATTGAGATGAACCCCAGATGAACATGTAGAACAGACTGTTGGGACCAAGGATGAAAGATAACAATGAGAGTTAATCCCATAAAACCTTGAACTTTGAGCCTGTTTGGTGCCTTTGGGCCTTGTTGATATGTAGGGAATTAAATTAAGAAAGAAAATTATTGTCAGTCTAGATAGACTTTGTAAAGGCGTGGATACTGTTAAACATGCACATGTATTTTACTTAGTTATCTTTTGGGGACATTAAGTGTTCTGGGGCTTAGAACAGGTGAATAACATCACTCGCTCCTAAATGCTGCTTCCTACCCTGGTACCATCATTTCTTCTGAACTTTGCCAAGTTGTTACCTCATTCTTTCTTAGATCTAAGATGAAGGAAGCAAGCCAACAGCTGAAACAAGAAATAGTGCAATGACAGTTTAGTAAATGAAGGAGAAGATACCCAGTACATAGTATTTCAGATGTTGGGGATAACCTCTTTATTATCAAAAATAAAAGTCTAATATCACCACTGGTGACACAGACTTCCAGATGCTATCCTTTGAGTACAGTTGTTATTGAATCAGCATCACGTTGAGAGAGAAAGAGTGAGAGGGAAGGAAAAAGAGAGACGGGTGTGTGTATGTGAGAGAGAGAAAAACAGAGTGAGCCAGTTGTAGTTTGTTGAAGTTTACCACAAAAAGATGCAAAGGGTCCCCAGCCACACTTTGTGTTTTATGTTCAGGTTTTGGGGTTTGGGATTTTTAATCTTCATATTAAGTCAGTCATCTAGTTTAAAGCACAGATACAATGCTAGTAATTTTGGTGCAGTGAACAGGAGTGCAGCATCTGTCTTTTAAAGGGATTTTAATGAGTACATTTGGATTGCTTGGTGACCTTTCAAATTTTGTTTTGTACTGTTATCAGAAACCTAATCATTTTTCTTTCTGAAACAGATTTTAACATCTGCTAAGGTTGATGAAGCTAGGATAGTTTTAATGAAATATTAATCTATCTTTTTTAATGTCGCCATAGCTTTTAAAATTGTTCATCAGCTAACTGAAACATCAGCTCAAGGCACTGGAGTTGATTTTTTAATAAATGCCTTTTCTATTAAATATTCTCATTGTGGTCAGAGTATAGAGGACAGAAACTTGTCCAGTCTTGTTCATCTACAGCCCACTTTCCAAATTCTCTTATTTTTAAAGTCATATTATTTTAATTTGTATTTCGTTATCTCGATAGTTAACTTGAGATTTCTTATATTTTAAGGAGGTGAGATTGGTTTGAATAGTGGCACCAGTCCTTCAAAATCTAGACAGTTTAAGGATATTGATTTTTAACAAGATTTAACTTAAATGTCTACTTTAAATATGTGTCTTGTCATTAAAAGGTTATTTACATTTAAAATGCTGACCTTTCAAGATGTGCACAACAGTGTTCTAAAACAGAGTTTCTGAACATTGGCCATGAAACCACTGTCTTGGGCTGACAAATGGTTTGGAAATAAGCTACCCAACACTGGGAATGGGCCATTAATTTTAATCAAAGGTGATGCAGGAAGGCGAATGGGATGCATGACAATGTCAACAGCCCAGTAGGTGTTAAGAGACCACACAGCCTTCCTTGTTACTTGGTTGGGCCATTAGTTGAGGTTGGGTGAAGACAGAAAGCCATGTCTGGAATTGAATGACCAGGTCACTCCAAAATCTAATGGAGAACTCCCCATTTCAGAAATCACATTGTAATGCCATTAGAAGTCAAGGACAGCATTTAGAAAATATTGGAGATTTTTTTTTTTTTTTAAACAAGCACCTTCCTAGTTTTTTCCAACTTTGTCCAGCTTCCTATTTTCCTGCCTTCTTTCCTTCTGAATAGATCATTGATATTTACAAGGGACCAAGAAATCAAACAGACTTAGGGAAAGAAAAAAAAAATCTTAAAGCCTGTTTGCTTTTCAGAATTACATAGTTATAAAACTCAGGTAAATGCCAGAAACAATAGCTACCAGAGAAATTAAGCAGGATAACTCATTCTTTATGGTGATCTCATTGTCCTTGTCTCTTTCTGGGGTGTAGGAATAGTTTCTTTCTTAATTTTTTTTATTGAAACCATTTTTCCATAATTGCAAAGGCCACTGTGCTTGTGCCTTTATTATAAAGTTGTCAATATTGGCTGATAACATATGTGATTTTCACAGTGGTGCAAACCTTTAAAAAAAATCAGTAAGCATATTACTTTATCTGGAGTATTTTAAATTACAAAAAAAGGTAGTGTGTGACACGTTGAACTAGAGATGTTTGTCATAACAAAAATGCAGAAAAAATAATGAAAGAGGCATATCTGAAGCATATTTACTCTTCAGGGTTGTTAAGGAAGTTCATTTATTCTGACATAGCACTGCATGCATAAGAAAGATATGTGTGACTGCAGTAGTAATTTTTATACATATTTAAGAAATAAAACAAATATATTCCTGTCTTGTTAATTGAGTAGTGTTTTAAGTAAATTGCCTTTGTTCTTCTTGTAGATGAAGATCAGCTCCGTGCAAAGGGTTATGACAAAACACCAGACTTTATTTTACAAGTACCAGTTGGTAAGTTCTTCAACTCTGTTATGCATTTGTTTTTAGAGAAAAGGGGTGTAATTTTAAATAATTTTATGTTAATATCAGCTTTATAATACTGTAAATGGGTGAATAGTTCGAAAATATTTTTAAAAGGCAGAAAATGAGAGGTTCAAAGGAATTCTGTCTTAAAATCTTTTGCATATATTGGGAAAATGTGTTTTCTAAAGATATTTTGGTTGTCATTTTCAACGTATTTCTCTAAATTTCAAATTCCTTAAACATAGGTCTGTTGAAAAGCCAGACTCATTTTGGTCTGCTTGACATGTCACTTGTCGAGTTATGCAGGCAGTCTGAGAACTAGAAAAAGGAGTTTTGAAGAATATAATGAAAATCAAAGGGATATGATTGTCACATAAATGTTCTTTGTAATGAACATATACAGTGTGTTTTGTAATCACATTTATAGATGATGGTAAGGGCTAAGCCTGCGCTCATTAATGTGAAGCATAGAGCAGCCCGTGCAGAGTTCAGAATTTTCAATCTTCCCTTCCCTTCTCCGTATATTAGTAATGCTTTGTCCCTTAGCTGTAGAAGGACACATAATTCACTGGATTGAAAGCAAAGCCTCATTTGGTGATGAATGTAGCCACCACGCCTACCTGCATGACCAGTTCTGGAGCTACTGGAATAGGTAAGGACCCATTATTTTTCTCTTAAGATAAACGATACTCAGCTGAAATCTCATTAGAAAAAAATATTTTGTTTAGCTGGTAAAAATGCTAGTAGTCTTTGTTTGTAGTAAATACAGAGTTTTGATTAATGTATTCATTTCAGATCATTTAAACTTCTCCGCTTTCCTAGTGTTGCTTCATTTTTTTAAAACTAAAAATCTCTGCATAAGGTCGAAATTAGTATATATTCCATTTTTCATTCATTTTACAATGGTAATATTCGTGTCACTTAAAATGTGGATAATAAGATGTAGTGTATATTACAGTATTGACACTGAACTTTTATCCTTTTGCTATGAAATTTATGCTTACTGTCAGACCTTAAAATAACTTATCCTTAGCTCTCTGAGGAAAGTATCCAAATGATGTGAAAGATGGAAATAGTATAGCTTCCAACAACAGAGAATAGTTCACCTACCAACTTGTCTTAATGTTCCAGAAGACATGGAAATCTCAGCATTAAGAAAGGAGTGGGAGGGTCTGATTTTCCTGATTATCTACACAGGCTTGGGAAGTTAGTTTTATCTGTAGTTTACAGATAACCAGGCTTATGCTGTAGAGCTAGTTATCCTGGGTCTGTATTTCTCTCTCACTCCCAAATCTGTGTAATTTCCAACACAACCCTATTGTCATTTACAATGCAACCATCAAAACTTTGGCTTTTTCTATTATTTCGGTCCCAAGTGTTCACACAATACATTGTTTTCCCCCTTAGAACAGGAAGTGTGTCAGGTGGTAAACTTCCTAGATTATCTATGTTCCTTGACTGCTGGCCAACATTAAGAATACAATAATAAAATGACATTGGCTCACATCCTTAAGGAATGAGACTGTAGTGTCTGTGGGTAATTGTCTTGTCCTAGGGTAAAAAGAGCGACCAGCTACAAAATTTGGCATTATATTGTTACTCAGCTTTACAAAAGGCCAGTGGACCTTGCCTGTAGCAGCTGTGCTAAACTAAGCCCACTTTTTGCCATGGTAACAATGATCATGACAAAATGCTGAATGTAATGGCTTTCTTGATTTTCTTGTGTAATTGTGCGTGGCATCCGAGCTTTACTTTACAGGGATGGAGGAGGAAAGTGCAAAATGTTTTAGAAATCAATGCTGTTTCAGCGTTTCCTGTGTTTTATTCAGCCATTATTCAAATTAGCAGTAATGTGGCAAATTGAATTTTAGATGTTTAGCAATTTCATGATGAGTTTGAAATAGTAAAGAAAGCATCAATTTTGGTAGTATAGGGAAAGAAATGACAAGAAAATCAAATTGCATAAGTTTAGGTTGCTAAAGGATTAAAAAAAACTGATAAGCTAAGTCAGTAGGCAGTTAGACTATTTTCCCAGCTTTGGTACTGGTCATATCTTTTCTAAGGAACAGTTACAAATTGAATCCCAAATATGAGAGCTTACTTAAAAATTCCACTTAATTATCTTTATTCTAAAACAACTCAACTATATATTGAGTACCTACTGTGTACTTAACATTCACCATTTAGAGGCTGATTAAATAGTCTAGTCACTGGATGACAAATTTAGGGATTATTGACATGCCTGAAGGATGTCTGAGTGATAGATAATTTAATACAATTTCTCTTTGGATTTTATATTACTTTGTTGCATTCTACTTTTTCCCTTCTGGTGATGTTTTACTTAGACTGCTATTGATTTACATTCCCTGAGCACATTATTTGAATATATCCTGGCTAAGTGAGCATAATTCATTTAGGACATGATGTTTGATAAGGGAATGCCAGCCTTGATTTTAAATGGTCGAGATCATTTAAGGAGTAAATGTCAAAAGAGTCACTGATGTTACCAAATGTCTGCAGAGAGGCCAAGAAATGCAACTTCAAAAAGGAACGTTTAGTACTCAAGTTTAAAATGGAACTCTTACTTGTATATAAAATTTGTGATGTGTGATAATGATACAAGCTTATTGGTAACGGAGCATTTTGACAGAAGGAGTACTTACCCTATTTGTGAATGTATGGGATCTTTCTCTTCTCATATTTTGCCTCAACAGAACTTACACACTTTAGCAATTGCTAAATTTCTTCAGCATATAACTTTAGCAGCTTCTGAAGTTCTTCAGAGTTGGAAGAAATTCTCTCCCAACTCTAGGTAGCCTTTCCAGGAGGTTGTTGGTTAGAATTTCGGCTCTTTTCTTTATTCGTGTGATAAACCTCTAGTTTGTATAAAAACTAACGTTACCTAATTGTCACACTATTTTCAGATTAAAGATTAGATTTTATAGTGAGTGTTCGATTACTATTAAAGATTAGATTTTATAATAAGTGTCCAACTACTATTTATAGACTAATGCTTTTGTGTAAATCTGTTTCCCACACAAAAAACTACAGAGCCATCAATTTTTAGATTAACATTTCTACAAGTTTTCTTTTATGGTAACTTGATATCCTTACTCAGCTTAACTAACCTTGAAAATATTTAAATTTTGCAATGCACTCATCTTCCCCAAAATCAGAGCTGTTGAGTAAAGACTGTAAGCAGCCTTTCCTATAAGCATATTCCCATCCCAAGTCCCAGGTATGAACCTTGGTTAAACAACTCCTCAAAACTCTGTAGTCTCTACTTCTACAGAGTTAAAGGAGATAAAGAATGCATCTGAGAAGCATTTGGACCATAAAAATAGCCCCAAATTGTGTAAGGCTACCAGAAATATATTTCTTTATGAAATCAACACACACAAAGTCTTCTCATCCTATTTCTCTAATCAGAACGTGAGTTCTTTGACAATTTGGCCTCTATGACTAAGTATGCTTTTATACTGAGATCATGACCAGTAAAGAAAGAAACCAGTGCTACCAGTCTAAGGTCAGATTACATATATGGGCTCTAACGTGTGGTCTTTCAAAGAGGCAAGAAGGACACCTTGGCCTTTCTTTCGGTGGTTTGAGATAAAGTGGGTCAGTTTGAATGAAAAGATTGAGTGATCTTAAATGACAGAGAAAGAGCCATTTGCTATAAAGCACATGAAGAGTGACCAACAACCATTGATGAAGAACATGGAAATTGTGACTGCAAGTTTCAGCCCTTCCGTCTGCCATTCCAGTCACATTCTGGCATGCTCTCATTAGAGACATGTCTTTAAAACCGAAGTGCAGTTTGTTAATATACCTCTCTGCTTCTCCCAAAGGAAATCTAAGCTTTTTGGCCAGAACAAATGGGGCAAAATTTGGTACATAGTAGTTGATAGTAGATATTTATTGAGTGTACTTACTGATGTCTGACAGACATCAGTAATAAGGTTTTGAGTCAGCTGTTGAGGAATGTGTCAGACATTGTGACATTAGCCATAGTATTTTCAAATTTTTTTCTTTGAGAATTCAACTCTAAGGATAGTGAGGAAAATGCCTAATTTTTCTGAAAAACGTTTACAGACTTTTCAAATGGATAGGCTTTTGCAGTCCTATTTCATAAAATAAATGTATTTAACATAAGGAATTTTAAAAATAGAAAATAACTGAGAACAAAATGACAAATGCATTTTATAAAGGTTTTTAGATAAATATTTATAATCTTATGTTGATAGGTTGCTTTCCCAAAACTTCAGACAGTTCTTTCATTTGATATTTGACGATGAATACCTTGAAAATTCTAAGCAGATGATTATCTCCAGTTTCTTTAAGGTATGCATGAAACTGGGCCTGGAGGAAGAGTACCAATGGAGCCTTATATACCATGTGTCTAAATATGTATAAAGTTTCATATTAAATTAACAGACATTAAAGAAAATATATTCTATTCTACATGAAGAGCTGAAAGTTCAGAATTCCTAGATTCCTTGGATTTCCAGGCTACCTGTGTCAGTACAGGGAGAGGTGGTCCCACTGCCTACCCTGCCTTCCTTTTCTTCCCACCCTTAGCTCTGTCTTACACCTGGAAAGGTGTCAAGCTCACCCCCAGCCTGCATATCCAAGCTCCATGTACATTCCCATAAACCACTGCTCTCAGGCCAGAGATGCACGCCCTGGTTAGTCTGCCTTCTTTTTCAGGTGAATGACCTTAGAGAAAGGGCCATACAAGGCCTGGGAGTGGTCTCAGGGCTATAATATCAGGAAGTTCTGAGGTCTGATACATGGAGTGTGGCCTTGAGGGTGGTTGAGGGAACAGGAATCACGTGGGGATGTTCCCTTGGCCCCATAAACTCCTTACTCCATGAATTCAGATCTAACTAGATGGGGGCCAGAGCAGAGTTACCTAAAGCTTGAGTACAGGACATGACCCTCTCTTGATTGGCCCTAAAGGACAATATTAAAGGAAGCAAGTGCATATATCTTTCAAAGACACTTCTTGTCCTCTTGTTAGAATAGGAGGGGTGATGAGCACTAGAGGAAATACGGTCTTCATCACATTTATGTACCACAGAAAGGATTAAGAGCTGAGTTCTATCTGTCAGATTTTTGAACCTTTGGCTCCAGAGAGTCTACTCTCCTGAAGGCAATGCTAAGCTAATACCTTCTGCCACAGAATTGATTTGACTTTAGTTCTTGCCTCTAAGTATTTTTTAAAGATCAGTATTTACTCAATGGTCTGGCAGTTGCTTTCTCTGGTTTGTGATAGCTTGAAAGGAGAGGCATTTAGAATGGGAATGCCAAGCAGTTAGAGTTAAGGAAGGTATTTTTCAGAGCATGGCCAAAGTTTTTCCTGTATTAAGATCCTTTCAGGAACCCTGCAATTAGCTAAATCACAGATTTCCAGTTATTTTGGTCTAGTTAAAAACAAGGCTGATCACATCTGTTGTAAGTTGGAGTATGTGCCTTAGCAATAGAAGCTCTTGCAAACCTTCAATTACAGCAGCCTCAGAAGCAGCACTGCTGCCATATACTATCAAGTAGCGACAACAAGTGACAGACTGACTAGCAATTAGCAAATGCACTGGAGAGGGCTTTAATAAAGGTAAAATATGATCATTTGCCTTTTCCCTCTCTTAAAATTGA